CTTTACCTCCAAGGAAGAAAAAAACAAACAAGTAATAAAGCTAAACGTAGAATTCTCAATACGCTAAGTAGAGCGGGAATATCTAAAATAAATCTTAAAAGCCAGGAAAACCTAGTTACCCTGAAAGATCCGTTTAGGTGAAGCCTAGGTAGGTTTTCTTTTCTTTGAATATATATATATATATATATATATATATATATATATATATATATATATATATATATATATATATATATATATATATATATATATATATTTTAAGACATTTTATGTTTATACATTCTTTTTATAGATACAAATATTTAACTAAATGCTCTGTTTTATAATAAACAAAAGTTATAACAATTACCGGCATGAATGTCCGAGAAACTTTCATAGAAAATATTCGTCCTCCAACAGGAATCGAACCTGTATCCTATACGAAACCGTCATTTAGCCTGACGTGCTCTTAACCGATCGAGCCACAGAGGATCGTTCGATTAGCAATGTCGAATTTACTGCCTTTAAACTATGAATCTCTCACGTGCATTCATATCTGCTCAAAGCGTATCCAAATATAAACAAATTACATTCAGGCCGGTAAATGTTATAAATACTGTTTATTATAAAACAGAGCATTTACTTAAATATTTGTATCTATAAAAAGAAAGTATAAACATAAAATTGTATTAAAATAATTGTCGGACTTTGTCCATTTCATAATGTGTGACGTTTTTTGTTTATATTTGGATACGTCATGAGCAGATATGAATGTACGTGAGAGAATCATGGAAGATTGTAGTTTAAAGACAGTAAAATCGACCTTGCTAACCGAACGCTCCTCTGCGGTCGAAACGGTTAAAGGCGCGTCAAGCTAGATGACGGTTCCGTATAGGATACAGGTTCGATTCCTGTCGGACGACGAATATTTTCTATGAAAATTTCTCGGACATTCAAGCCTGTAAATGTTGTTTAATAATGTTTATTATAAACAGAGCATTTACTTAAATATTTGTATCTATAAAAAGAATGTATAAACATAAAAATGTCTTAAAATAATTGTCAGACTTTGTCCATTTCATTATATATATATATATGTTTGTTTATTTAGTCCCATATGAAGTCTCCTCTTATTTCTGGTCTAAGTTTTGCAGGTATGACAATTCTGTCCTCCTTTTCTTCTCTATTCAATTTTTCCTTCACCTTTGGTAAAATAGGGAATGGAACACTCCTTGCTGTTGTTACACAGTAGGCCATAGCATCTCTTTATACCTATTTTCACTGGGACTCCATTCATGCATTTCCGGTATCAAATGAAGTTTCCTATTCTGTTTTGTCTAAACGTTTCACTAAATTCATTTTTATTGACGTTTTTCTAGACAATAAATTCTCTCCCTTCAATGACATATATCTCGAAATAATATTTGGCCTTACCGTCTTCCTCTGTAACGGTATTAAATTTTCCAATGAATTGAATTTTTCCTCTAGGAAGAGTGAAGATACCATTTACTGATTTTAATATAGGTTTTTTTTTTTTCTCAGATTTTTTAAAGTTTCTGTTGAGATAATGTTTATATCGGCGCCTCTGTCGATTTTAAATTTTACTGCTGTTTTATAATTTTTTTTAATTTTTATACCACGGCTCATTTAAATTAGTTTCTGCCAGCTCTGCTAGGAAATATTTCATTTCTTCATTTACTATTTTTATTTGTATTCGTTTTGCTTCTGCAGGCTACAGCAAAATTATTCCTTTTTTCCCGCATTTCTTGCAATGTTTCCCTTTCGCTGGACGCCCTTATTTTTTTAACTACGGTAATTACTGTTGTTGTTGTTTCCAAATGTTCCTTTTGATTTTCTATCTGGGTCTGTAGTTCGCCGATATTTTTCTAGCAGAAGCACCAGAATATATGTGACAATATTCAATGCATGGACGAATGGTACTCTTGTAAATATCTAAAATAGATTCTGTCGAGAAAAAGTGTTTAAAATATTCTTATATTAATTTAAGTATCTGACTATATCTCTGAGATGAGGTATTATGATTGCTTGCATTATTTATATTATTCGGACTGTTATCCTCATCTTCATTGCCATATTCACAACGTTTCGGCCTCTATATCTCTGAGATGAGTTATTATAATTACTTGCATTATTTACATTATTCGGACTGTTATCCTCATCTTCATTGTCATATTTACAACATTTCGGCCTCTATATATATAATTCTGAGATTATTTATTATTCGGACTGTTATCCACTCTTCATTGCCATATTACAATTTTCGGCCTCTAGACTGAGATGTTATTATGACCCACATTATTTCTTTATTGCCATATTCATTTTCATTGGCATATTCACAACTTTTCGGCCTCTATATCTCTGAGATGAGGTATTATGATTACTTGCATTATTTACATTATTCGGACTGTTATCCTCATTTTCATTGGCATATTCACAACTTTTCGGCCTCTATATCTCTGAGATGAGGTATTATCATTACTTGCATTATTTACATTATTCAGACTGTTATCCTTATCTTCATTGTCATATTCACAATGTTTTGGCCGTTGTACGCTTCGGCATTCTTCAGATGATTGGAACTTCGAACCAAACCCTTTATTTCGTCTACCGGGGGAGATTGTTGTAGTTCCACGTGTCATGCCTATTCCGAATGTTTTAGTTATTTCCATTTTACTTAACTCTAAAACTTTTTGGATTCAGCACTGCTGTGGCCTGGTATTGAACTCACAACTGTTTGGGTCTCGTCACTGGATCTGACCAAGCCCTTTTTCCTCATTAGGTGACCTATATATTTCAGCTATTATTTGTTGACGTTATGAAAACGTTTTGGTCGTTGTGTATTTTGGCCTTCATCAGGGAATTCGAAATTAAACCCTTTATTTAATTTACTGGAGTAGACTGTTTTCGTCCCAGTGACCAAGATCTAGTTCTTATATTTAGTACAGCTCAGTTATTGCTTGATCTATTCCCACTGAGTTCAAATACACACGAGCCATCCTTGCGATTGAACTCACAATTAGTATTTTACCAAATTCATGAACCAATGCTTTAACCCACTAGGCCATTTCTAAGTTCCTACGCTAGGCCTACTAATGAGGTTGTCATAGCCTAGAATATTCACTGATTCTTTCCTGTCCATTATTTTCACTTTATTCCATATGGGTTGATGACTACTCTTTTCCATCCATACATGATCAGCCATTCCTGATTTCCTTGTCTTACTTCCTCACTACAGCTTTTCAATGTTTCTCCAGATTTATTTTCTTTATAGGTTCGCGGAATAATTGTGATAACAACGACAAAGATCAGATTAATAGTTCGAATGTAAGTAGTGTAAATAATTTAAAGTGTCAGATTGATTTTGTTTTACTAACCACAATATGGCAGGGTTTTCATTCGAGTTATTTTAATGTCTCTTCCCGGTTACCCAACCCCTAATGTCGGGCCGGTGACAATACTGAAGATGCATTTACCTAAGGGATAGAGAATTGGGATAACTTTTGTATAGAGATCTTGCATTCTTTTTTAAATCATAGATGAGAAATATATTTTATAATTTTATTAATTCTAGCGCAGCAGATTTAGGCGGGAATGTCTCATCATTTTACGTTTGAAATGGCTGGCTGCAACCGTAAGTTTTATGTTAACAGACACTTCTCTCGCAATTTTCGCTCTTGGAAATCTAGTTTCTAGTTTTCCAGTCAAGTTTAAGCTTCAAAAATTTAAATGCAATGCCAATCGTTATATTCCTTCTTCATAATGCCAGTTCTTTCATTGTTTTCTCTCTTTTCATAATGTTTTTTTCTCATATTATCTCACACTCAGTGCACAGCCAACCATTACGTCTTAGTGATTTAATAGTATTTTTCTTATATTCTCTAACACTCAGTAAACCCCCCTTGCGTCCTAGTGGCTTTATTGCCTTAAAAAAGAAAAGAAAATTCCGAATATTTACCTGGTATCTTACGTTTCTTCTTCTTTGGTGGCCCTCCACCCCGGGATTTTTAATCGAAGCTTTTCTTTTAAGAGATTAAGATTCAGCATTGTAAAAACAGGTGGATTTTCCTCAGAGAAGACAAAAGAGCAAAACAACTTTGTTTACCGTTTTATGTGGCAGAAGATTTGTATTTTTTTTTTTTTATTATTTTTTTTTTTTTTTTACTTTTCTTCCTTCCGTACGAAATATGAAGTGCATTTTTGATTCTTCTACAAATGTTGTTTTCAGTCGTCTTGTCACGAGGCCGAATATGGCTTCCAACTTGAAAATCTGATTCTTCCGACCTTTGCTCAGAAACAAAATCTTGTCTTTGTGGTGAGTTATCTGTTTAGATATATTAGATTACGAAAGGATTCGCATAGATAGATAGATAGATAGATAGATAGATAGATAGATAGATTGTAACTTAATAACTACATATGGTCATAATAGATTAATTTTCAATAGGAATCCAAGTAGTATTTCCATTATCTCGTTCTGTCGAAGTCTTTCTCCCGCATTCTTCTTCTTATTATTATTATTATTATTGTGTTTAATAATAATAATAATAATATAATAATAATAATAATAATAATAATAATACCTGTTCAATTCTCACGTCATTGTTGAGATGTGTGAGAAGAGGATCAAACAACACCCCCACCTCACGATACTTTTCTCCTTCCTAGTCAACTTTCGCGCTCGCCATCTGACCAATCGCGCTTGACTTTAGCATTATACCCTAACAAATTTCCCACTTCCGAAAGCCCAACCCTACCCATACTCATCACCCCTCCTCACTCGCTTTCAGTCTTCTTATATATATATATATATATATATATATATATATATATATATATATATATATATATATATATATATCGTCAAACAAGAGAGAAAGAGAAATATATATATTTCTGTTTTTCTCTCTTGCTTTTGACTCCCCCTCGTCTCATCACGTCCAAACGGTAAGATAAACACGAATGATTCACTGAATAACAACAATAGCAACTGGCGGGCTGGGATGACCTCTACTGCTTGCCACCTATCAAACCCGCACGACGTTCAATTAAAACAACAGACCTCTTCTTTTTCTTTCAGTTTTATTTTAATTTCTTTTTTATTTATCGTTCTATTCTGCTTTCTTTCTTTCTTTTTCTTTCTTTCTTCTTTCTTTCTTTCTTATTTTAATTTCTTTTCGTCCATCGCTCTGTTATTCCTATCTTTCTTTTTTCTTTCTTTCTTTCATTCTTTCTATCTTAGTTTACTTTCTTTTCGTTCCTCTTTTCCTTCTTTCTTTCTTTTTTCTTTCTTTCTTTCTTTTTTATCTTTCTTTCTATCTTTCTTTTTTCTTATTTTAATGTTTTTCGCTCATCTTTCTCTTCTTCCTATCTTTCTTCTTTCTTTCTTTTTGTATTATTTTAATTTCTTTTCGTTCCTTTGTAGCTTTTGCTTTCTTGCTTTATTTTTTGTTTGTTCTTATATTTATTTGTTTCGTATTTTAATTTCTATTTGTTTATTTTTCTCTCTTCTTTCTTTCTATTTTTTTTCTTCTTTTCTTATTTTAATTCCTTCAGTTCCTTTTTTCTTTTTTCTTTTCCCCCCCTTTTTTTTTGCTGTTAAACTAGCTAGATGTAACCGTAAGTTCTACTGTAACGGTTTCTTTTCTCGCACTTTTCACCTGTGGAAGTCTCTTTCTTTTTCTTGTGTACCTGTCACATACAATCTTCAAAAACCTAAATTCTTCGCCAGTCGCCATCTTCTGTCTTCCTGTAACCTGTTCTTTTATTGTCCTTTCTCCTCACTAAAGTCTTCTCATTCTCTACCACTCCAAGTAACCCCTTGTGTCTTAGTGGAATTATCGCCATCTTGTGTCTTCCTGAAACCTGTTCTTTTATTGTCCTTTCTCCTCACTAAAGTCTCCTCATTCTCTTTCACTCCCAGTAACCCCTTGCATCTTAGTGGCATTATCGCCATCTTCTGTCTTCCTGAAACCTGGTCTTTTATTGTCCTTTCTCCTCACTAAAGTCTCCTCATTCTCTTTCACTCCCAGTAACCCCTTGCATCTTAGTGACATTATCGCCATCTTCTGTCTTCCTGAAACCTGTTCTTTTATTGTCCTTTCTCCTCACTAAAGTCTTCTCATTCTCTACCACTCCAAGTAACCCCTTGTGTCTTAGTGGAATTATCGCCATCTTGTGTCTTCCTGAAACCTGGTCTTTTATTGTCCTTTCTCCTCACTAAAGTCTTCTCATTCTCTTTCATTCCCCAATAACCCTTTGTGTCTTAGTGGAATTATCGCCATCTTGTCTCTCTTCTTGAAACCTGGTCTTTTATTGTCCTTTCTCCTCACTAAAATCTTCTCATTCTCATTCATTCAATTTTGTGTCTGGCAGTAATCACTCTTCCTGAAACCTGTTCTTTATTGTTTTTCTCCATTATTTCTTTTCATTTTCTTTTTCTCAGTCTCTCTCTTCATTTTTTTTCCATTTTTCTTTTTTTCTTTTTTTTTCTTTCTTTTTCTTTTTTTTGATTCTTTTTTTTCTTTCGTCCCTTTCTTTCTGCTTCTTTTTCTTTCCCTTTTCTTCTTCTTCTTCTTCTTCTTCTTCTTCTTTCATTTTCCTCTCTTTTTCTTCTCTTTAATTCTTTCTTTTTCTTATTCTTTCTTTTTTCCTTTCTCTTCTTCTCTACATTTCATTCTTTTATTTCCAAAGACACCCTATGTTTATCCTATCCTTTTTCTTTTCCTTCCCAAATCTCTTTCTTTCATTTTTATACCACCCTCCTTTAATTCCTATTTCGTTCTTTCTTTACCTGCATCTTTATTTTTTTCTATCAACTTCTTTTTCTTCCTTTTTTTTTTTATAGTTCCATTATTCTACTCGCATCTCCCTCTTCCAAACACATAGCTTTCATTAATGCATTAATAGCATTGCCTATTTCTTTGTCCTGAGATCAGCAAAATATCCACAAAACAAATACCACAGCAAAATTTGCATGTCCTCCATACCGCTAAGATTTATACTTTCCAAGCAGGGGTTACTTCCGAAACCCAAAGAAAAATTTACAATTTCAGACCCCGGCAGTTTTCTATATGTGTCGATAAAGATACCCGAGAAATGGTCTGCTCCTACATTTTTTCTTTTAACAATTTCGCCTTTGTAAGGAAATAAAGCCACTAAGATGTAAGATAAATATGTAAGGTAGATTTTTCTTTGGATTTTATCAAGAATCTCTAAATATATAGCAGAAGCACCAGACCAGATATGGAAGCAATATTCAATGTATGGATGAATGGTAGAATTATAAATATGTAAGATAGATTCTGACGAGACATGATTGCTAATCAATACTGCTCTTAAATTCATGAAGTCTTCATAGAAAAGAAGAAAACTCACCAGAATGATTACTAAGAAAATATTTATAGAAAAGTCAACGGGAAGTTACATCATGGCGGTGGGAAAGTGGGTCAAGATGCAAGGTCAGGACCAATAATATTGCACATTCTATTTTCTCAAGAATCTCTAAATCCATAGCAAAAGCACCAGATGTTTGTTTGTTTGTTTAGCGGCACATCAACAAATTATGGGTCATTTAATGCCGAAATATAATTTTCTTGTGAGCTTGATTATTTTTACTTTTTTTTTTCAAGAATCTCTTGCTGATAAGTTTCTTTTTTATTTAATGGTGGTAAATACTTGTAACTATTTTTATATCTACCGTGAAACATTACATATCAATTATTTGCGAATTTTGACTTAGTAGTCCGGGCAGAAGGCTTAAAATGTTCAGGAACAGAGCGTTCAAAGGGTTAATTGTATCTTCTTAAGGCATGGGCTGTAAGGGATCTTTTAAGGGAACCTTTTCTAATCAATCCGTCAGCTCCAACTAGAAGTAGAAATAATGATGTCGTCATGTTCTACATTTTTTATTACAATTTATCCAGATACAGGAACACGTAGGGTGTGAGAATAATTTTATTGTCTCTTCTTAAGACCTGGGCTATAATGGATCTCTTAAGGTACCTTTTCCAATCAATCCGTGAGCTCAACTCACAACTAGATTTACTGAGGTCGTCATGTTTTACGTTTTTTTGTTACAATTGATATAGATAAAGGCCCACGTAGGGTGTGAGAAAATTTTCATTGCATTTTCTTAAGACATGGGGTGTAAGGGACCTCGTACGGGAACCTTTCACTATAATTCCGTGAGTTCCAACCACAACTAGAATCATTGATCTCTTCGTGTGCTACATTTTTTTATATTTCCACTTCAAGATTCTTGTATTTTGCTCATTTTTAAGTTCTTTCAAGCAACATAACGGTCTACGGAAACTGGCATGTCAATAAAAAGCATATTCTATCTATGTGACCATTGATCACTATATCTGTGTAGTAAGCTTTGATTGTTCTCCCTGTGTATACTGTAATGTCATATAAAATTCTTACAGATCCTGTATCTGACACCGAATTTCATTTTTTTTTTTCTTATTTTCTTTCCCAGATTTTCGAGTTTAGATATTGACCCACTAAGTTATACAGAGTTTCTTTTTATATTTGCTGGGTGCTAATACTTGGCAACAATACAAGATGTGCAAATGTTTCTGGACATTAATCCCAGAATATGCATTTGAAGTCGAAACCATTTTTCAGTATTATTATTATCATTATTAGGCAACAATCAAAATCATTTTTCCTCCATCGTCGCCCAATAAATGTGGTACAAGATTCATCAGTCAAAAGAAGGATTTAAAAAATGTTATTCATGTATTTGCCCAAATCATTCAGTTCGTACTACCACAACCGTTCCTTCAAACAACAGTAGAGCTCTATCTCCTGTTTATTCTCTAGAAATTGGGTCCCCGCTTCCTTCAGCTCAGTACTTCCGAAGTCTCCGCCTGAAATATAAAAGCTTATTCTGTTATTATTTTCTCCCACAATATTAGACAGGCTTGTTTAACGTCCGGTTCCCACACCTCCACGGTCATTTGAACAACAGTAGAGGTTTATCTCTTGTTTATTCTCTAGAAATTGGGTCCCCGGTTTTTTCTGCTCTGTACGTCCGAAGTCTCCGCCTGAAAACTTATTTTGTTATTATTTTCACCCCCTAATATTAGACATTCTTGAATATCGACCATTCCTCCTATGTCTTTTGAACAACAGTAGAGGTTTATCTCTTGTTTATTCTCTAGAAATTGGGTCCCCGCTTCCTTCAGCTCAGTACTTCCGAAGTCTCCGCCTGAAATATAAAAGCTTATTCTGTTATTATTTTCTTATTTTTCTCCCCAACGGTCATTTGAACAACAGAGAGGCTTGTTTCCCTGGTTTTTTCGTGTACGTCCTAGAAGTTCCTGAAAACTTATTTTGTTATTATTTTCACCCTCAATACGGTCATTTTGAACAATTCCTCCTAGTAGAGGTTTATCTCTTGTTTATTCTCTAGAAATTGGGTCCTGCTTCCTTCAGCTCAGGAAGTCCCGCCTGAAATATTTTTTTCTGTTATTATTTTGTACAATATTAGACAGGCTTGTTTAACGTCCGGTTCCCACACCTCCGGTCTGAAAACAGTAGAGGTTTATTTTGTTTATTCTCTTTTCCGAAGTCTCCGCCTGAAAACTTATTTTGTTATTATTTTACCCCCTAATATTAGACATTCTTGAATATCGACCATTCCTCCTATGTCTTTTGAACAACAGTAGAGGTTTATCTCTTGTTTATTCTCTAGAAATTGGGTCCCCCTTCCTTCAGCTCAGTACTTCCGAAGTCTCCGCCTGAAATATAAAAGCTTATTCTGTTATTATTTTCTCCCACAATATTAGACAGGCTTGTTTAACGTCCGGTTCTACACCTCCACGGTCATTTGAACAACAGTAGAGGTTTATCTCTTGTTTATTCTCTAGAAATTGGGTCCCCGGTTTTTTCTGCTCTGTACGTCCGAAGTCTCCGCCTGAAAACTTATTTTGTTATTATTTTCACCCCCTAATATTAGACATTCTTGAATATCGACCATTCCTCCTATGTCTTTTGAACAACAGTAGAGGTTTATCTCTTGTTTATTCTCTAGAAATTGGGTCCCCGCTTCCTTCAGCTCAGTACTTCCGAAGTCTCCGCCTGAAATATAAAAGCTTATTCTGTTATTATTTTCTCCCACAATATTAGACAGGCTTGTTTAACGTCCGGTTCCCACACCTCCACGGTCATTTGAACAACAGTAGAGGTTTATCTCTTGTTTATTCTCTAGAAATTGGGTCCCCGGTTTTTTCTGCTCTGTACGTCCGAAGTCTCCGCCTGAAAACTTATTTTGTTATTATTTTCACCCCCTAATATTAGACATTCTTGAATATCGACCATTCCTCCTATGTCTTTTGAACAACAGTAGAGGTTTATCTCTTGTTTATTCTCTAGAAATTGGGTCCCCGCTTCCTTCAGCTCAGTACTTCCGAAGTCTCCGCCTGAAATATAAAAGCTTATTCTGTTATTATTTTCTCCCCCCAATATTAGACAGGCTTCCGTTTTCCATTACTCCCCGGATATTTGAACAACAAGAGAGGTTTATCGCTTGTTTATTCTCTAGGATTAGGTTCACGGTACCATCATCTCAGTACATCAAAAGTCTGCGCCTGACCTATGAAAGCTTATTCTATTGTTATTTTCCACCCTAATAATAGAGAAGCTTGCTTATCGTCCGGTTCACACTTCTCGCCAGTCTTTTGAAGAACAGTAGAGGTTTTACTCTTCTTTATACTCTAGCATTCGGTCCCCGGTTCTTTCACCTCAGTACGTCCGAAGTCTCCGCCTGAACTATGAACAATTTATCCTGTTATTATTTTCACAAACTAATATTAGACAGGCTTGCTTATCGTCCGGTTCAAACCCTCCCCGGTCAGTTGCACAACAGTAGAGGTTTATCTCTTGTTTATTTTCTAGCTTTGGGTCCCCGTTTCCATCAAGTCAGTACGTCCGAAGTCTCTGCCTGTATTATGAAAGCTTATTGTTTTATTATTTTCTCGCCCTAATATTAGACATGCTTGCTTATCGTCCGGTTCACACTCCTTCTCCGTCTTTTGAAGAACTATAGAGCTTTATCGCTTGTTTATTCACTAGAAATTGGGTCCCCTGTTCCTTCAGCACAGTACGTCCGAAGTCTCCGCCTGAAATATGAAAGCTTATTCTGTTATTATTTTCACGCCCTAATATAAAACAGACTTGCTTACCGTCCGGTTCACACCCTCCCCTGTCTTTTGAACAACAGTACAGGTTTATATCTTGTTTATTCCCTAAGATTGGGTTCACGGTATCATCATTTCAGTACATCAAAAGTCTGCGCCTGACCTATGAAAGCTTATTCTATTGTTATTTTCTCCCTCAATATTAGACAGGCTTGATTATCGTCCGGTTCACACTTCTCGCCAGTCTTTTGAACAACAGTAGAGGTGTTACTCTTCTTTATACTCTAGGATTCGGTCACCGGTTCCTTCACCTCAGTACGTCCGAAGTCTCCACCTGAATTATGAAAGCTTAGTCAGTTATTATTTTCACACCCTAATATTAGACAGGCATGCTTATCGTCCGGTTGACACTCCGCCTCGGTCTTTAGAACAACAGTAGAAGTTTATCTCTTGTTTATTCTCTAGGAATGGGTCCCCGGTTCTTTTAGCCCAGTACGTCCGAAGTCTCCGCCTGAATTATGAAAGCTTATTCTTTTATCATTTTCTCGCCCTAATATTAGACCTGCTTGCTTATCGTCCGTCTCACACTCCTCCTCCGTCTTTTGAAGACGAGTAGAGGTTTTTCGATTGTTTATACTCTAGGATTCGGTCCCCGGCTCCTTAAGCTGAGTACGTCCGAAGTCTCCGCCTGAACTATGAACAATCTATTCTGTTATTATTTTCACACACTAATATTAGACA